TGTACGGACCTATGATTCCTAACGGTTGTCGATTTAAAGACAACTCCATCAATTGTTGTTCGGTAGGACATGAAGTTCGTGGGGGAATGCTCGCGAATTTTCAGTTGTTTATCGTCTTTTACACGTATGCCGAGCTTAAGACGGGTCGTCCGAATGGAAGCTGATTTTTTTTTTTGTGCGTGTGTGTGTTGAATTTGTTGCTGTAATTACAATGTACTTCATTTGTCTAATGGAAAATTCAAATTCTTTGTGTGTAATCCTGTTCAAAAAGAACTATGAAGCCACCACGTGTTTATTTTTTTCACTTGAAACATAAAGAAGATAACAAATCATACACAAATTGGTGTGATGAATGAAAAGAAAATATAACTCACTGTGTAAGCAATTTTGATCTATCAATCATTTCCCAGCACAAATTTATCTTTGAAAAGAAAAAAAAATAAAATGTCTCGACACAATGACCAAAGGTTCGAGGACAAAAGAGAAACCCACAAGCACGATTTACAGACAACTTAAGGGAAATTATGCATCTCGCTAAGAACAGTCAGTTTCCAGATAAGACTAAGTCGAATAATGCGCTTTCAGTACGGGACGACGGATTCTATGAGTTCTTGAAGTGGAGCAAGTTCTTTCTTGTCGATCAGGGAAAATTCCTGCATAACCAATGTATAAGCAAATGAAAACATACTAATTGTGAAACGAACATTCCAGTTTTTCTCATCATCAGTTTAAGCACAAGCCAGAATTAGATCATACGAGTTTTTTGCAGGAGATTGATAAACAGGCCATGATATTTGGCTTTCTTCTTCTTCTTTTTTTGTCGTAATAGGTAATATCAGTAAAATAAAGATTGACAGTATGCAGAAAGGCCAAAATTCACAGCTTTCTGAGTTATTGATCTGGAAATATTACAAAGAATTGAAGTCTGGTAAATCGAGAGCTTACGCAGGTAAATAGAATAAAATGCTTGAAGCAGGTGTTTAAATGGGCCTCCTCCTTAAGGCTCACAATCTTCTGAAAATGAGAATGGTATATATGCGCATAAACACGGAAAAGGCGTTTAAATATGGTCTTCACGACATCCCTGAAATTCGAAGGAAACGGTGCCCCTACAAATATATTTGTTTTTATCAGAATTATTATAATTAAATTATAAAATAAAGTGAAAATGAATAAAATATATATATTTTTTTGTTACCTAGTTTTTGAGGAAATATAGATTCGTCGTCTAACTGGGTTTCGATCCAGTCCATCAAATACTCGACATATTTAGGAGCTGAAACTTCGATTGGTTTCTTGATTTGTATGCCATCTGCCCATCTGTATTCATACCTACAATATTTTTTTTCCAATTAATCATTTTCATCACCGGGCTTAACACCCGAACTAAAGACAAAAACTAGGTTAAAAATAAACTTGAACAAAGAAACCCAAATCATTGATCACGGAAGGTATAAACTAATTTGATTTAAAAAGGAATGAATAACATATAGTTTAATACTTTTTTTTTACAAACAAAGAATGAAATCAATTTAAAGTATTTATTTATTCATGGCTTTTTCTCGATAAGTGTGTCACTTGGTACAGAACTTAGTGAATGTGCCAACAAACATACTTGGGGCCAGCAGTCATTGTAGGGCAGTTTTCGGCAGTACAGAACTCGGTGAGAGTGCCATAAAGCAAATTCACCTGGTTGAAAAAATCGACAGCTGAAAAAAAAAATGCAAACAAAAATGTTCAATTTTAATCCTCGAAGGCGAAGCTTAGAGTAGCGAAAATTGACGAAAGATAATAAAGCAGCACATGGAAGACAAATGTCGATTGTTTACAGTCCAAATGCTGGTTTTCTTTCTGATATGTTCTTAGTGATAACTATTCACTCCATTTAAAGATCTAATAAGAACTAATTAAGACGCTATATTGTATAGAATATATAATGATGAAACCTAACAAATATATGTGAAAAACATACATAATTGAGTTAAATTGTAACCTTTGGATATTTTCTTGTTCACAGAAGCAAATCCAGGACAATTATAATGGGGCAATACATATTTAATAATGGAGAAATAAACTATCTAAATAGTATAATGTCATTACAAAATGGCAAAATTTTATCATATAACTGTTCCCTTTGAGTTTTCATCTTTTGAAATGATCCAACAACTACTTCATCTATAACTTTTTCCTAGAAAACCAGTTTCCACATAACAAACCAAAAGATCACTAAGAACCTGACCATTCATTCAGTTTAGCAAATAATTGATCGCAAAGAGAAGCTTCTCTCGACGGTTTTTTATGAATTCACAATTCTTTATTTTAATTAAGAGAGAGAGAGAGAGAGAGAGTACTGTTGACGGCAAGCCATTCGTTTATATCTTCACCGGGTGGTAACCTCACAGCTTCTCTCAAGTTCCCACTTCCTAAAGTAGCATCAATATGCTTTCTAAGCTGTGCCCCCTGCAAAATCAATTATGTGCATTACTTACAGATTGAGCACTTGAATAAGCTTAAGAGAGACGAAAAACTGAAGCTACACAACCATCAAATCTCAAATACTTATACAAGGTCTAGGCCTTTTTAATTCAAAGAGAAAACAAACTCCTCAAATAATTTTTCCCAGTAAAGTTAAAGAGGACAGCGAAAATCAACAAGCAGAGATAACCCAGTAACGTGATTAAAAGTAATTAACAACAATTACAGAAAAGTAAAATGGAGAGGCAAAGAAATCAACCTTACTGCCCGATGGTGCACTTTTCTTAGGGCGGAATGTTCTTTGGTTCCTGCTCGAGAATAACAGATCAAAAAATTTAGTAAGCAACATTATGTCCAGTTCTAATAAATCAAGTTCAGCAACACAGGTTATACTATAAATTAAGTACTCGAGGAACAAGTGTTTTGTAAGACTTGATTTCAGCAAACAATGCTCAATGCAAAAAATATATCTGCCCAATTTAGTGACTAAGCCAATGGCAGGCATCGCCACATAACCAGAAAAGTAACACGATGATTAACTATTTTTCATTTTATCAACCGGCCATGAAACGGGTCTTTCACAAACAAGACATCTGAATTATTCATCCTCATCAAAATTACAGTCCATTCCAATTCTTCAAATCAATTATTTTCTTTCTTGAGCTAAAACCGGCACCAAAGGTGACACGAGATTGTTCATGGACATCACTAAAAGCCAAAAGAGAGCAGCTAAAATAGTTCGCCGGGCCAAAATAAAATCGAGCATCTTCTCAGCAAATCAGTTCTAGCCAAACAACGACACATGTTTTACTGAATCACAGGCCAAAATCCCTGATGCCAGCAACTAAATACATCACCCAAG